TGTTCTACGTAGAATGCTTCAGAGTCTGCTCTGACTGATTTAATTAAAAAGCTACGCTTGGATAAGCTTCTATGAATGCTCAACAAATTGTAAGTGTTAAGAGTGCTAACAAGTATTTGAGACTCTGAAACAAATGTGTTGGTTATTTATTTCCACATAGTCACCGATGAGTCAAATGCAGAGATAGGTGCAATGTTGTTACAGGAATATGGAATTTTTTTTCGTACTTTTTAAAAAGGGTGGGCTAAGGGTGAAAATGAGGTTAGTTTCCCATTAAAAAAAACTTTTCCTCCCATAAGCCACACTAAACACTCACCCCCTAAATTGCCACACAAAGGAATGAAAGAAAACTTGTCTCCCTTGTTCTGCCAGTGCTATATAACTGGATTGCCTTCTGTGATTTTTGGAAAAATCAGACAGCTGAGTTGCAGGTTCCCAAACCCCTTAAATATTGCCCGCTTAAACTAAAATCTCTCCACTGCTGAATTTGGTGAATGGCAGCTCCAACATATCTTAAGGGTTTCATAACAGGGAAGATCTGACACTATGCTGTTCTAGGATCAGAAGTTTTAATAGTTGGGTCTCACTGTCTCAGATGGAAAACTAGCAAATGTTCAACCACAGACAAGAATCTAAACTTCCTCACAATCAGAATAGTCCTAGTTCAGATTTATGGTGCCTTTGCAATAGAACTGCAGGCATTTAAATCTTGTGGAGATCTTGTACCTCCAGTTGCATCCTTGTTGGATATGGTTTTGATATGGTTTTGACTTCTAGGCTCACTTACATAAAACGTTGCAAAAGTCTTGTGGACAATTTTATTCAAAATATTATGACCATGTAAGCTACTGTGGGATCACAGCACAATCCATCCAATTAATTGAGCATGTTTCCAAGGAAGGACTATTGCAGGAACACGCAGTTCTTGGTGGCAGTAAAACAGTAAAAGGAGAAGTGAGAGGCAGCACTCATATTTTTGCTGGCAAGAAGCTGTGAAAGAAATGTTGAATGCATAAGTCGAGGACCACCTCTAATGATGTCAAAGAGATTACCAAGGGAGAGAACAATGAGATCTCCCGATCTCCTTGAAGATCTGTTGCTCCTCTGGAAATTCTTCAGAGCTTTGAATAGTTGGTGCAAACATCTCTTGTTCTTTCTCAAAGAAGACTTCTGTGTCCAGAACTTGGCTTAGGAATGGCGATCGCCAAGTTCTTTCCATATTTTGTTTCCTGCGCAGGTAGTCCTCAACTTACAACAATTCATTTAGTGACCATTTGAAATTACAACAGCATTGAAAAAAGTGACTTAGCGGCCATCCTTCACATGACCATTGGCAGCATTCCCCACGGTCATGTGATCAACGTTCAGATGTTTGGCGACTGGCATGTGTTTATGAAGGTTGCAGTCCCGGGGTCACGTGATCACCTTCTGGAACGTTCTGACAAGCAGAATCAATAAGGAAGCCAGATTCACTTAGCAACCGTGCTACCAACTTAACAACTGCAATGATTCACTTAACAACCGTGGCAAGTAAGATCTTAATATGGGACAAAACTCATTTAATTATTCTTGCTTAATCACAGAAATATTGAGCTCAGTTGTGGTGGTGCATTAAGGGCTACTGTACTGCTTTGACCATCATCAATCCTCAGCTAACGCCCCATCTACTGGCTATAGCGCAACTTAATTTGGATACTTGCAAGTGACTAACCTGACAATTGTCACACATCACTGAAAAGGAGCCAATTCTATCCACCGTCATGAGTTATGTAGGGTAATATGACTACTCTTGTCAAACAGTTAAAACTGTACATCTGACTTCACGACTGAATGGAATAATTGATCCTACCTGCCCATTACCTCTTGGACACAATTTAAGGACCTGGTATTGATCCTTCAAGCCCTAATGGTTTAGGATTTGACTATCCCAGACAAGGAATAATGGATGGAAACTGACCAAGGAGAGATTCAACCTGGAAACAAGCAGAAATTTTCTGACAGTAACAGCAATCAACCAATGGAACAGAAGTTGCCTTCAGAAGTTGTGGGAGCTTCATCACTGGAAGCTTTCAAGAGACTGGACTGCCATCTGTCAGAAATGGTGTAGGGTCTCCTGCTTGGGTGGAGGGTTGGACTAGATGACCTACAAGGTCCCTTCCCACTCTGCTAATCTGAAATCTATCCAAGGGACCACCTTTTTCATTACAAACCTGCTTGGTAACTTAGATCAGCAAAGGAGACCATTTTTAAAGATGTTCCTGTAACCAGAAGCTTCCTTATAGACCACACAGGACACAATTTGCTTCTGTGCAGCTTCCACTCTCCCAAGCTTTCAACCAACACTTGATTTTAAATTTCAATTGTATTGATGGTATTATGTTTTATCTACTGTACCTTGGCTTAAGTGTGGTAAGCTTCTTGAGTGGTTATGTAACCATGAAATTGCACTATGTTTAATATTGCTTAAAAAATGGAGCTAGTAGCCAAGAGAAACAACCCCGTTTGTTCTTTTCAAACTACTGCACCAACAGGAGAACAATAAAGAATAGGTGGGATAAACATGCTCTGCCTGCTGCAGTTTGACATATCTATTTTTTTTTTTTTTTGGAAAACAGACTGGTTAAAAGACTTGCTAACAACAATGGTATAAGCTGAATTCCTAGGAGATTTGTTCTGTCAGGTAGCTTATTTTTGTGAAACGAACCATGAAGACTTGAATTCAGTACAGAATCCTCTCGTCTTGTGACTTTCCCAGAAGCTTTTCAGGCAAGACAGCTTCCTGCAAACATCTGCATTACTCCTAATAATGTCAATATTGCAGCAACTCTTGGCACCTTCAAGATTGTGGGAAGAGATTGGACTGCCATTTGTCAGAAATGGTGTAGGGTCTTCTGCTGGGGAGGGGGAGTTGAATCAGAAGACCTACAAGCAGGGGTGGGATTCAACCAGTGTTACTACCGATTCGGTGATTACATTTAGCGCCAGACGCGCGCTGCGTGTGTAATACACCTTAAGCTGTGCCGCCCGGACAGCTGATAAGCACTGAACAGCAGCGTTTGAAAAGCCACTTTTTTACTGCTTTTTCAACATCAGCTGTGCCGTGCAAAGCAGCTGAGGATGAAAAAGCAGGAAATAAAAGGTCAGATAAGAGCCCAGGTGGGTGGGTGGGCCAAACAGCATCAAACACAGAACCAGTTCTGTGTCTTTTGTTCTTCAGAGCTACCAGTTCTAGAGAGCTGGGCAGAATCGGTAGCATCCCATCCTGCCTACAAGGCCCCTTCCAATTCTGTTAATCTGTTATATGTTAAAGATGGGTTGGGACTGCAATTCACAGGTGTTGGAGTTCTCATTAGGTTGACTCCAGAACTAGGCACAATTCTTTCTCAGCAACAACTATCATAACAATTGATTGTCTAGCCAATCTTTAGCAAACCCCGTTCCATAGAGTTATCTCTTTAAGCGCCTGGGATAGGGTGCGATTCCTTTATCTGTGGTATTTTTGCTTCAAACCTTTGGCTCATGTGGCAATTTCAACACCAAGACTCTGCCTGCTAGTCAAGCATAGCATAACTTTAAGTATTTTTTTGTCTGTCACCCAACCTCATGCACCTTTCAAGTATGAAACCTCCAAAAGACCCTTTTGTTTTGCGATGATATTTCCAAATATATCATCAAATAACACAATTTTGCTTTGTATTCATAATACAGCAAGACATGTGGAAGCTGGTTTCACCTTGGGTTATCAAACTTCTTCCTCATATTTCTGGAGTCAATTTACATGAAAGTCTATGGCTTATGCAGCTCCCCAATGACTCTTTTTGCTACATGCTTGATCATGCACATAGTAACCTACCTGGAAATTAATACAGGGGCTCAACTCAATTTTCTATTTACTTAGTGGCAAGCATGCCCTGCTCCCAAATGAAACTGAATTTCAAAAGGTTGCAACCAAGTAAATATCATTTATTCCTCTTCCTAGTAAACTATATCAATTAAAACTATTAATTAAAATGCCATGTTGAAGGGTTAGGCATGGTACAGTTCATTACTCCAGTAACAAATGACCTTTCTAACAATTATTGGGGGAGGGGAAAGGAATAACAATACTGATCCTCCCCAGCTGTAAAATTCTTAGTGGGAATCCAATAATGGGGTACATACATATTATATTTTGTAAATAAAATCCTAATAAGTTTAAACAGTGATAAGTGCTGTGAAATCATGTTATCAACATCCATCTTTAATCCTCTGCCTCTTTATTTCATTATTAGGTTATCATGACCCACAGACTTATCATAAAACAGGCCTCCTCCTCCTCCTCCTTCCCCAGTTACACAGTTTGCAATGTGAGAGAAATGTCAAAATGTGGGTTAACGTCTTGGCTGCTTTTCCACCGAAAAATGTCTTGCAAAGCTCAGCACAACTCATTTCACAGCTTTCAGATTTGGCCATCTCAGGAAGGAAGGGAGGGAGAATAGAATAGAATAGAATAGAATAGAATAGAATAGAATAGAATAGAATAGAATAGAATGGAGGAATAGTAGAATAGAATAGAATAAACCTTATTGTCACTTTGAATGTACACTAATCGGCATACATTAAAACGAAATTTTGCAGCATACATCTCTCAAAAGGTCATCACCTCCAATATACACTACCTACAGAAACATGACAAAATAAATAGAAAATTGTACATGTCCCCCACATATATATTATATGACAGAGAAACAACACAGTCTAGGAAGGAAGGAAGGAAGGAGAGAAGGGGTAGAAGGACGGAAAGGAAGGAGGGAGTATTGGGAAACTCAGCAGGCAAAGCTCAAGGGAAATGCACTGGAAATGCAAGGGAAAGAGCACACACTCCCATACGCACACGGACACACATCTGCAAAGCAAAGGGGCGCACCACGTTGGAGTAGGTGGGCAAACTCCACCTTGCAAACCCAGCATTGGTTTCGCCTGCTGTTCAGTCAACCCCCACCCCCAGGCTGCGTCCTTACCTGATTTGACTAGCACCGCTCTGTACAAGCCAGTCGCCCCAGGTGGGATTCTCACCTGGTCGCCCCTCCTCTGGGTCATCGCGCCGGCAGGTGGCTCTCTTGGCGGGCTGTCTAAGTCGACTCCGGCCGCGCCAAGCCTCCTTTTTTCTCTCTCTCTCTCTTTCTCTCTCTTGCCCTCTTTCCCTTATTTCGGCAGGTTTTTAAGCGGGCATGACTTTTGGGGCAATCGGCGGAGAAGCCCTGGCGGCTCCCGCACGGATCTTTTCACAGGAGACGAGTCACGTGAAAGGCGCCCGCGGTCGTTCTGGACAGCCGCCGCCTCCCCCCCCCCCCCCCCCCCCCCCCCGAAACCTTTTTCCCCCCCCCCCCCCCCCCCCCCCCCCCCCCGCCCTCGGATCCTGTAACGTGGCATGAGTCGCTGTGCAAAACTCACACTTTGGGCAAGGAACGAGTGGGGAGGGGGGTTGTTTTGGGAGGCTTGCAGACGCTTTTGTGCTAGGCTTTTTGCTCGCTCCTGCTGGGAACTTTGGTGACAAAAGGGCGTTTTGCGTGCAACTTTCGGTATGGAGAAGGTTGGTGTGCTGCTTTCTGGGAGATCTCCCGCCCCCCCATCCCCCACAATCCGCCCCCCCCACTCATCCAATGTTAGCAGTTAGGCAGCGCTTCGACGAGGAAGAGAGACCTATAGAAAGGCGGCCTCCGACGAGCTGAGCGTGGCCGTTGGGCGAAACGGGAATGAAAGGCAGGCAAGGAACATTTGCTGCGCAACTCCTACGCTGCGAACGGCAGGCGCCAAATCAAAGCCGGCGTCATCGTCCTCCTCGGCGCTCAGGTTTGCAGCGCCGTTTAAGAAATGCTTGCAAAAACCAAAAAAAAAAAAAAAAAACCAAGCACACACACATACACACACGCTTAGCAGCACCCAGGTGACCCCGAGGACACAGATAAACCTCCAAGTGCTTCAACAACCCTCTAATATAAATGGCAGAGTCTAAAATTTAATGTAGACTCTACTTTTTTGGAGTCTAAAAGGATGCAGATGACCTGCTGTCCGCAAGGGATAGCAACCCTTCCGTTCCCCGCCATCCTGTCAGAGTTGAAGAAGCTTCTGGGATGAGAAGCGAAACGTCTTCAAAAGAAAAACAAATAAACCAAGAAAGTCCAGATGCCTCCTGGGGGAGAAAAAAAAAAAGGCCCTTTGGGACAACTTGGAGGACTGAGAATCTCTACAGACTTTTTTTATGCTCAGCAAAACCCAAGACCTTTTAAGCGCATCGGAAAGGACTTTTATTTGGAGTCCCGTTCCTCCGTGGTTTTCTTAACTCCTTACTGATTGAATAAACCTGCAATCGGCGGTCGGGCTGGCGCGTCGCAGGCAGGATTCAGTCAAAACGCGGAGCCAAACGTTCAGTTGCAGAGATTTTGTTCCTTGGCGGTTGTTTCCTTTCGGCTCGCTCCTAAGATGACAGAGCCCCAGGTTCGCTGATATGACTCATATAGATCTTAAAAGAATGGTGCAAGCTATGAGTAAGGAAACGCAAGGAGGAAATTTTAGATATATTTTTTTAAAAAATGGAACTCGGTGCGGTGAATTTAAGAAGAGGAGGATGAAAACCCGGTGCGTTTTGTGTCATTTGTGTAACGATGCTATTTGGGCTAATGTGCACTTGCGATTATGTCATTTGCACAAATCGTATCCCCGTGAGCAATGTGCATGCAGCTTTTAACAAGACAATCAAGAATAATGGCGTCTTCCTTCCCCAATTAGTCCATTAAATGGACAAGATGGGCAATCCATCAATCTAATTAACAAACAAGCCAAACAAATAAATCAAGATTTCATGGTAGAAGAAGAAACATTTCTTCAGATATTACATATGATTTCCAAGGATGTTTTTTATATCAGTGTCAGCCCTTTTTTTTTTGTAAATTTTATTTGAGTTTTCACAAAGAGAAAAAAAATACAAATAAAACATCTTTTTTGAAAGTAGCGTAAACCCGGGTTACATTTCTTCGTACAGACACAAATTCAGGTTCATGCTCATTTTTATATTCTATTCCATATCTTATTACTATTTTACATTTTCTGCATAGCTTCTCCCCTCTTTTAATTTTCTCAAATTTATTTTAATTATCTCATCTCAGTTCAAATCATTGTATTTATATTTTTTGTCTGTCCTGTTTCAATTATCTATTATCTTTTCTCATTAAACAAAATTTCTCCTGTAGTTACTGATTGGAGTATGACGCCTTTATATCTTTTCCCTAAAGTTGTAACATTCAATATAATACATAAATTCCATTTGGATTCTGCTTGGTACATTCTTAAAATACACACTGTATTCTTAAAAAAAGAAAAAATTATAAATGTATATAGTTAAAACAACATTCCATTCCAATTCAATTCAATTCTATCATTAATATTAATATTCATTAAAGTCTTAACATCTTTAACATTACTTTTCAATTAAATATCATACTTCTATGGGAACAATTATAAGCTTTCCATAGTTAATTCCCCCCCCCTCTTCACTTACATTTTATAAAACATTAACTAATTAAAATGTTCCCGTTCCTTCCTAATTCAATTTTCTCATTTATTTTATTTCACTTATTTTATTCACAAACATTTTGCTAAATTACACTAAGTATTTTATCCCTCATTTTAATCATACGTTGTTTCCAATTTTCTAAAGTTATTTCTATTACTAATATAACAATACAATCTTATGTACCTTTACAGAATCCCTTTTTCAATTAGATTTTCACCCATTATCTCTAAATAGGTCCTGTTTCTCTATATCTTGCCCCGGTCCTTTGTAACTTCTTTTCCTTTCCTTCTTCCCTCTCTTCTTCTCTCTCCCCTTTTTACCCCCTTGTCTCTCTACCTCTATTTCTCTCTTCTGTATTCCCCTTTTCTGTTGCTTTCCAGTATAATACTTATTTTTCGAATTATTTTTCTTTTCTTTGGTTGTTTTTTTAAGTCTTAAATTCTCCATTCTCTTTCCCCCCTTTCCTTTTTCTTCCCCATATAAAATTGCTTGTTCATTAAAGATGGCTTCTTCGTTGTCCCAGTCTTCTTGTTTTGCAGACATTTCTTGTTGTTTCTCAAAGAAATCTCCATTTCTGTTGTTTCTTGTTCCAAATCTCCATTTCTAAGAATTGAAAAATGAAGCCAAAAGAACCCTTCCCTTCTTGTGCATCTTCTTTGTACTTTTTAAGTTCCATTTTCAATTCATCCAGAGGTGGTGCCATGGTATAAATTTTTAAACAACCACCCGATTGATTTTAGTCATTCAAATATAATAACCAAGAATCCAAAGATCACCAAATCCAAATACACACAAGCTGTTTCTTTTTTGCTCTTTTTTTTCACTTTCTCTTCCTGGGGTTATTATTTGGTTGCAAAGTTTCAGTTAAAATGTATCTTTTAGAAGTCTTGTTGAAGTTTTACTGTAGATTCTTTTTAATTCCAGGCAGTCTCCTCCCTCTTCTAGATCCTGCCCTTATTCTTTTTCTCTCCCTTCCTGCTTATGAAAAAGAAAATTTTTAATGTCCAGAAATCTTTATTATCCCTTTGGCATTTTGTTTTATTTTCAGCTTAATTGCCTATTGATGCCAAAGCGGATTTTTCCGATTTCTTATTTAAGTCTCTTAGTTGCCAGTATAGGGAATGAGAGAGAAGGGGAAAAAAGCCAAACCTTTCCCTTTTTACTTTCCTTCGCTGCTTCTTTGGGAGCGATGTTATTTTCTGTAAGTTTAAATTCCAGGGTACCTTAGTTGTTGCTTTTACAATTTAACCTGGTCAGCCAAAACTTTCACTTCTTATCTTCCTCCTGCACATTCTTTTCCGGTCGAGTTCTCCTTTGTGGTGGCCATTTCTGACCACCGCTGCAACCACCTTCGGGAAAGGGAGTAATGGTCAGCTGAGGAGGAGAGATGCGGCTCTCCTCAACCCTGCTGCCGGTCTCCCCCCTCTTCACCACCTCTATGGGGTGGCTTAGCCCCGAAACCAGCCGATTCAGGGTGCTCCAGCGGCGAGCCCAGACAGAAACCGTGCACGATCACGGATTTCTGTCTGTCGCCGAAGCCCTTCAAACCGGAAGTCGTGTCAGCCCTTTTAATGGGGACTGGAAATGAACTGGGAGTCAATGGAATCTAGTCCTTGACTTACAACTACAATTGGGACCAGAATATCTGTTTTTAAAGTGGTGTAGAAAGGTAGCACCCACCCATCTCCTAGAAGAATGAAATATTTTGAGAAATATTAAAAATATTATATTTCCCTGGATGAGAAATGGAGAAACGTGTTTTTTTAAGAGGGAGAAAGCAGCCGCCATGTTTTCTTAATAGCCCACAGCAGATGTTAGCACTTAAGAGATAAAGAGATAGGTAGCTCTATTCCTAAGCAAATACCCTCACCCAAGATCCAACACAGGAAAAAGCATTAAGCCATAATAGGAATTGCCGAACACCAGGGCTGTCAAACTCCTGGCTCATTGGCTGGATGCGTCATGTGTTGTCCATGCCCACACCTGATTTAGCGAAGGGGAAAAAAGTCCCGATATGTCACACGATGCTGCTGTAACGTGAGTTTGACACCCCTGCCCAACACCCTTTTAGAGCACAAACCTCTTCATTGCATCATCTCAGCAGTCCAAACTTCAACCAAACCTGGGAGCTCAGACAACCTATAGAGCCAGCTATGACCCCTACATAAGCCCTACAACAGCCAATAGAATACATGTTCTTGCACAGGAACAGGAAGTTCAAGCTTAAAGCCCAAAGATGGTATAAAAGAAATCCTCTCCATGTGGTCAACTGCACCAGAACCACCAGTAAATGGACCCTCTTTCCAATCAGCCTCCAGCTTCCATTTTGTCTCCAGTGTTTTTCTCCCAGCTTGGAACTGAACCAGATGGATATTTCTTCCCACAGTGGTTAGGTGAGTTGCACCTGATTTTATCTTCATCCAAGATATCTGGTTCTAATTAGCTGCCACTTGTTTGAACATTTTGTCCAGGAAAGGAACACTGAGCAGAAGCTTATACATATTCAGAACTTCTCTGTCCGAGTATGTTATGTTCCAAACTGTCTACATTATGATTGCCTTTAATGAAAATGAGATCATTTTTTTTAAAGGAGCCATTTATAAGCTCCTTTATCAAGGTGAACATCTCTGTCATAAAGCCAAGAAGAGAAAGATTGAGTAAACAGGCAGATGGCTGAACTCTATTAAAACTAATCTGAAAGTTAACCAATACACATCTGATTAGCAGGGGCCCAGACATACTTTAGATGAAGTGCCAATACTACACAA